GATTGTGAACCGATTTCTGTGTTTTACTTTGAAGAAACCCTTGTGTCCTTAATTAAAGGTTCTGTCTTAGTCCAACTTCTCTGGATTTGTATCCTTCAGTGTTTATTAGTCAGAAGAAACATACAAAACATTGTTTACATACAAAACATTGTAAACAATATTGTAAACATACAAAATATTGTTACATACAAAAACCTCTGGGGACAACAATGGCATGAAAGCCCAAGTGCTGAAAACATTAAGGCACATGCTTAACTTTATCCTAATGACTTCAAAGAGAATGCCTATGAGTGAAGTGAAGCATGTGCACTCTTGCAGGACCAGGGCTTTCAAAGTCAGAGAGTTAGGAGCTAGGAAATATGAAATTAAAGATGCCAAAATTAAAGGTCCTTCCTTCTTCCTCCTTGTGTGGCTTGAGTACCAGACAGCTTTAATTATATAAAACCACAGTGTTGCTTCCAGAGGACTCCTGGCTCATTCAGTGCACTAGGATCTCCCATCAGTCTGTGTTATACTCATGCTTACCTTCAACAGGTGGCAAGTTCTGGACATCCCTCAATCCCTTCATCAGTTCAGTTAAATTCACCTTTCCATCTGTTGTAAGGTAAAGCACAGCCAAAGTCAGGGAAATGATAGACAGACTAATGGATCGAGAGGGGGAGAGGAACTTAGCTCAGTGCTAAAGCTAAGCAGAGTTGCCAGGGGAAGGAGATGTTTCTTCTTTCTAAATGATGCAGCCATCACATCCTTGAAAGGTGTCAGTGTGGAAAACATGAAATTCAAAGGGCCAGAGCCTGCTCCCCTTGACAATGGAGTGAATTGAAGTTGCTTTTATTATCAGTGCAAATATATTTTCAGACCATTTAAAGATTTCCCCACCACCACCCCTGCACTATCAAGAAACGTTAAGTAAAAGATAATTAGTTATTTAGTCTAGTGGCATCAGTGCTGTTACGCCAAGTTTACACCAGTTTAGATGGGAGCAGAAGCCAAGCCTATGATGTTATTTAAAATGAATCAATTGTCTCTTATACCTGACTCTCGTCTGACAAGCATAAAACACAAGCATAAGCAGGAATTTCAATGCTGTTTTCAATCACCATCCCCACTTTACCAACAGAGAGAGGATTGGAAACACCAACCATCAACTGTTGTATGTTTCAGGGCCTTCTGCAGCTCCTCGTTGGGCGCACAGATCCCCATGCTGCTCAGGATGGAGTCCAGGTGCTGGATGCCGACCTTATCTCCTAGGTCAGGTGGGGAAGGCATAGGCATTAGTCAGTGGGGAGATTTTCCCAGGTAAGGGGAGAGTGAAGATGGAGCAAGGGCCTTGGGGTGTGACGTGCACAGAGTTTACAGCCCCCTTCCCTAAATCCCTCCTTGAACCACTTGAATTTTAATTGCCACTTCACAGCGTTTTATCAAGTTTCAGGCCAGCAGAGACCATTAGGTCATCTAGTCTAAACCGTTTGTTGGAGGCCATTTAGTTTCTTTCAGACACTCCTATATTACCCCCCAAATCTTTAGTCAGCCCTAGGATCATAGGAAAGCAGGGCTGGAAGGGACCTCATTAGGTCATCTAGCCCAACCCCCCTGCCCAAGGAAGGATTATCCCAGTGAACCATCTGTCTAACCTGCTTTTTAAAAACTTTCCAAGGATGGAGATCCCACTTCTCTAGGCAGCTTGTTCCAATGCCTAGCCACCCTCACAGGGTATTGTTACACAGTAACTTGAAGATGCATTAAGGGCTCTTAAAGCAGGAGTGTCTACACATGATGACAGGAAACCATAAGTTAAGGGCTCTCTGAATAGCTTAAAGATAATCCTCTTTCATCAAGGATTATCTCTAACTGGTTTTGGGCAGTTTGTGTTGCAGTCACCTGTGACTGCTCCACAGGCCCATAATCAGTTGGGAGTGATCCTCCAGTATCCCAGGAGGCACCGCTCCCAGCCACTCTATCTTTTCCAAGTGACAGGGGGTACAGTAGCACCTAAATGTAAGTGTAACCAGGGTGGCAGACCAATAGTTGCCACCCCTGCCCAATATCAGGGATGGTGTGGTAAGAGTGGGGCAGGGCTTCCGGCCAGCACCAATTTACTTTCCAGCCAGCCCCTGCTTGCCACAGAGCAGCCCATGGTCCTAAGAAGGTCTAACACTTAACTGATTTAACTATTTACACTTTATTTACAAAACAAGAATAGGAAAGGTTATTTACAAGTGAACTTAAATGGCATAACCAGGATCACAAAACAAACCAGAATGCATTAGTCAATCCTTGACTCAAGAACCACGAGTAGGGTAACTTAACTAGCAGCTTTCAGCCTCTATTGAGATGCTGCAGCAAGGAAGCAAGGTGCTTGCTCCCAGCAGCTCCAACAGGCTTTCAAATAAGCAACAGACTACAACAGGGTAGGCTCTTCTGGTCTGCAGCTATCAAATTGTGCCAAACCCCAACCCCTCAAAGAGGCTGAAGGGTGACCTCTGTGGCAACTAAAAAGGCAAGCAAGCAACAAAGTAGGCTTCTGCAGCAATCGGCATGACCCAAACATAAAGCTTGTGGACTCCATCCAACGACAATCAGCTGCAGAATAAGGGACAGGACCGAGTCCCCTCTGGGGCAGTCAGTGGCAGAGGGTCAGCAGCACAGGCAGCTCCCAGGGGTCGCTGCTCTAAACCCCTGCTCCAGATGACTGGCTGGGTGCCCCCATATGCCTCATGGCTTGCTAATCCTGCTCTGAGCGCCGGCCCGCACCCCGAGCTCTCGAGGACCCTCGTCCTGGTGCTCTACTGCTCCTCAGGATCCCAGTGCCTTGCTTGCTGCTGTCCCTCTTCCCCAGGGAAGGTGAGAGGTTTCCTCAACTCACCGGCCCAGCTCCCTGCTCTGGACAAGGATGCCGCCTGGATTCCTGGCCACTGCTTCTTCTCTGCAGTGGAGTGGGGGGCCGAATGCCACCCCTAGCCTCTGGGATGCCCAGCACGTCCAGTACACTACGATGGGGCCTTGGGGCAGCAGCTCTCTGCCCCAAGACCTGGCTGCTGCTCCCTCTCTTCTGCAGGGCTGGAGGCATGGCTGACTGCCGCTGCCTTCTTCTCCCAGGGCCTTGGAGGCTCTTCAGAGGGGTCTCTCTGCTCCCTCTGCTGGGTCAGCTCACCCAGCTCTTCTTAGGCCTCCAGCATCATTCCCCAGAGTCACTGTCAGCAACTCTCCATGCCACTTTGGCTGCTGCTTTTATCCCCTCAGACAGTCCCTCCCTGGCTTGGAAACCAGCTAACCAGGGTTCGGGGTGGCTGGCCCACAACCCCGGCCATCCCCCTTCCATGCAAATGAGGGGATTGAAAACCCCTTCTTTCAACTGGCTTCTCCTTTTCAACAGGGCAGGGCTCCCTGGCTCCACCCTTGGGGTCTCTCAGAGTTCACCAGCACTGTTTCTAGCCCAGGGTAAGTATCTCACACCAATGTGGTGAGCCCACATTGGCAGTCTGTTACATAAGAATCCCCTCTTCTCTGCCCCCAGCCCCTTGGAACTCCCCTCCATTGTCCTCAGCCCCTCAGGACTTCCCCTCACCCCCCCCTTCCCCTTTCCCTGGGGCTCCTCTTCTGACCCCCTAGCTCTCCTGGCTTACCTGCGACCCTGTGTCCCATCACTTGTAGCTGCTGGTGCTGTCTCAGGGTAGCAAGCAGGGAAAGGGAACCTGCTTGCCTGGCTGCCACCACAGGGCCACTGCTGCTCTCCTGGCAGAGCTCAGCCTAGAGAGTGGAAGCAGCAGGCAAATGCCCATTCCGTGCTTGCTCACCTAGGACAGTGCTGGAAGCTGCATGGAGTGGGCATCTGGGATGCTGGGGGGTGGGCCTGATCTGGGGAGGTGGGAT